GAATGAAAAAGAATAGGAAGCTACAGTACGTAAAAAACCTAAAAAAAAAAAAAGAACATAAAAAAAATGTTAATCAATAGTAGAACTCTGATCAATTTATTACCTGGAACGGCTGCACGACCTGCAGAATGAGTCGCTGCTCGTATTGATTAAGTTTGGAAGCCCTGGTTTGATCCAGCACTCCAAGTGTCTGTGGAGTCAGGTTTCAGGTTGATTAAGCCCCGCCCCCTGTCCCCACAAGTTGACAGGATTGGTTCCTTTGGTTTGTGACGTATGAATCCCTGGCTGTCTGAATCTGTTTTTATGAGACATTGGGTCACTGCAGTTCAAGGTGGAAATACTCAGTTATGGTGTTGACTGATTATTTCAGTCATGATATATTTCTAAAAAACACCGTATGGATGTTAACAAGGTTAAAACCTGATTTTCATTGGAGGGGGTCTTTAAACATTCAGTGCTCTATTTGCATTGTACGTTAACATGTACCCATCCTCATGGAAATGACAGTGATTCCCCATCAGGGGATACTTCTGTAAGAGCGTAAATGTGGAAAGTCAGAATAACAAGAAATTTGATTTATAAATGTATATATGTATCAGCACTGAGTCAGCTAAAACACCTGGACGCCTCATTCACATCGATGAAATAAACTAAAGAGTTGATATAGTTACTAACGGAGGTCGAGATAGCTAAAAATAATGAATCATTAGGCTGAAACAGAATAGATAGAGATAGTAGAGAGATAATAGAAGAGTTAACAGAAGTTGAAATAGTTAGCTAAAACTAATGGTGACACAGCTGCTAAAGGTTGAATGGAGATAGCTAGAGTTGTAAAAGTTAGCTAATATAAATAGTTAGCTTAAAGTAATGGATAAACAGTCAAAGGTAATGAATAAATGTCTAACTTAACAGTACACATGCAACCAAACCAAGCTAACACCGACAGTTCAACTGTATTTGTAACAATTTCCACATATAGTTTAGTGTTAAATTATATTTAGTTCATTAAGATCAGTTGAGATTAACACATTTGGACCATGGCGGGTGGTGGTGATGAAGCTGTACTTTCTTCAGGGATGTGGCGGTACAGCTGAAAAAAAAAAAGGCTGGGAACTACATCCACAACATAAACTTTTACCGGAAAGACACTTATGGAAATGTTTCTTCATCATCACCTTTGTCCAAAATCTCTGCATAAAAGGCCTCTATATTTAACTGGATTTCTTTCTTATTTATTTCTGTCTTTGTAAATGACAGCTGAGACTGGTTTTATACTCAAAAGCTGAAACTAAAATGTCCACACATAAACACAGTGCTGCTGCTGTAATCCAGACCTGAAGGAAAGAATCAAACAGGCTTAAAATATGGTGGGAAAAAGGTAAACAAAGTGCAGCTTTCATCTGTTCATGCCACTAGAATACTTGAATAAGCACTTTATTGGATCAAACACACACAAACACACACACACACACACACAGTTTGCCTTTGGGAGTTCTGATGTTAATCACACCTCCAGGATTTTGAATTTTGGAAGCTCTCTCACATAAAAGCTCTGGTTTTGGCATCATTCATGCATGTGGTGCGATGTGGCAGGCCAGCTGATCACCTGTGTTTGTGTGTGTGTGTGTGTGTGTGTGTGTGTGTGTATGTGTGCGTGTGTGTTATTAAAGTATAAAGTGCTTACTCCTGCTCTGTCAGACACAGAGCTGCCGTTCTGAAACAAGCAACTGTGTTGTTTATTCTCTAAACCTTTAAGAAGATTTTATGTCGTTTGGGCTGAGTGCGTCCATTTCTGCTGTGTGTGTGTGTGTGTGTGTGTGTGTGTGTGTGTGTGTGTGTGTGTGTGTGAATTATGTGTGTATTAGACACGTGAGGCTTGCATTTTGTCATCTGCTATAGGCTATTTATGCATACACGTGAGGATATGGGCTGTGTGGCTGAGAAGGGGCGGGTGAGGGACATAAGAATAAATGGTAGAAAAGGAAAGAGAGACAGCGGAGAGAAATAAAAGAAGAAACAAGAAGTGACAGACACTGAGAGAGAGAAGAGAAATAAGAGAAAAACAGTGTGAGCAAAATAAGGAGACAGATGAGACAGAGGTTGGAGAAAATAAACGAGAGAGTGAGAGAGTGACATGTAGACAGAGAGGAGAAAAGAGAAGAGAGAGAGAGGAAATGGACAGAGGGAGCGGAGGAGAATAGAAAGGCAGCTCATGCTCCAGTGGAGGTGAAATCATGCGATCGCCGCTGCAGCTTTCTCTGCAGGCTGAGCAGCTCCAGTCTTGGCATAACGAAGTGTCTTTAACTGCATCACCTGCCACCGCACAAACACACACACCTACACGCACACGCACACACACACACACCTACACGCACACCGTCACATGCACAGACTAAAACACACTATAGTGCACATTTGCTTGTATGCACTGACTCTTCTGTATTCCCAGACAAGCACAAAAAATGTCAAACATGTAGAAACATTCTAGTTTATAGTTCTGTTCTTGTGTAGACCTTTCAGTTCATGTACTCATCTGACCATGCTGAGACTGGTCCCAGTCTCAGCA